GGCGCTGCGGCAGCAGTTTTCTGCCTCTCGGGCTTCGCAAGAGGTTTCGCGGGCTACCCTCCGGGGCGGAAGGGCGCCGACGGCGCGTGGTTGGCGCGGCAAACGAGGCTCTGGCGGGCGCGGCTCTGGGCTGGATGGGGCGCTTCGAAGAGGGGCCATCTCCTGCTTGGGTCCGCTGCTGACGAGGTGTCCGGCGCCCTCCTTCTTCCGGGATCTCCTGGCCAGGGGGCTGTGCGCCTTTCGTTCCAAGACATGCAGGGGATTCATTCGGCCCGCGGGTCGCGGCCTGACAGGTGGGTGGGCCAGCCGACCTACATGTGGGATCGCCTTATAAAGTTCCGCCCTGCAGGGATGCCCATGTGCGGACCGTCGCGCTGGTTCGCCGTTGCAGCTCCTGGCCTGCTTCGAACTGCTTGTGATTCCAAATGGGGGCTACACGGGATGGGCGCCCCGTAATCGATCCAGCACGCAGAGGGGGTCTTTACTGTGTCGACGAGATGCCCCCAGAGGGCCGACCCGAGGCCGCGGCGCGGCCCGCGCGCGGGTGTTTCTGTTTGTGCGTCGGTGCCAACTACCAGCCTCCAACCGTGGTGCCTGGCGGCGACATGGCGAAGGTGCCTGTCCCCAGCTGGGGGGGGGGGGGTCAGCGCCGGGGGGGGCGGCGTTGGACCGGAACTAACCGGACATAAATGTCCCCAGCGGTCTGATGACGTAATGGAGCGCCCCAAGTGGGCGCGCATGAGCGGCCTGAGCGGCCATGTGAATAGCCGCGGGTGGCTGCGGCAACTCGCCAGACGGTGGAATTAGCTGATGCGCATCCTTCACGGGAACGGGTCCTCCGGCGCCCAGCCGGAGGTGTTTGCTTTTGGTGGCGAGTCCTCCGACGACGACTCGCTGCTGGCCGTGGGGGCGCAGATTGCTATTGTTGGTTTGACGTCGGCGAGAGGCTCACCTCTCAATGGCCTCTCCGGCACAGCCATTAGCTATGTGGAGGCGTCGCAGCGCTGCGGGGTGCGCGTGCCAGTGACAGGGGGCGAGGTGCTGCTCAAGCGGGACAATCTACAGACCTCACTCGTGGAGTGACATTGGCTGACGGACTGCGACATTACTCACGACGCTGGTATGCCCCAGGCCTCAGTGCAGAGGGCGCGGATCTTATTGCGCGGATGCGGATCTGCGGACCGGGTCAACGAGTGGATGGATATCTATAGGGATTTTCTTAACCGCAGGCGGGCGTTGGTTTTGAACTGGGGTATCTTGGTGTGTGCGTGCCTGGAGGAGGCATCTAGATTTGTTATTGCGTGTCCCCGTGGTGCTGGCATCCGTTACTCGCCGTCGCTGGGCAATTTGCGACGGCACATGGCTCGCAGCAGCGGCTTCCTCACCTTTGGTGGTGGCGCTACCTGGACTGAGAAGCGGCTTTTGGTACTTAGTACTACCAGTGGAAGACCAACAAGAGGCTGCGGACTACGCATTTTCAAGGCTCGCCCCTGCAGAGGCCCTTGGCCAGGCAGTTGCCGAGGCCGCGATGGCCACGCCTTCTGCGGAGGCCCAGGCGTCGCGCAGCCAGCGGCGGTCGTGGAACCTTATAACGCGGCTCAGTGCGTACATTCTTTGCTGGAGCACACGGACATCGCCATAATGTGCAATAGCGAGGCGACGCAATACTTGCAAACGACATCTTGGTATTGCGCGCCCCACTTACACGAATGTGACCAGGCTTCTGGCCTAGATCATTCATGCCCTCTCTATCGGCGACGTTGCGCTTTGACGGCGCGCTCAACGTGGACATCAGCGAGTTCCAGACGAATTTGGTGCCGCACCCGCGCATCCACTTCATGCTCTCGAGCTGTGACCAGTGATTTCGGCAAGCAAGGCGTGCCACGAGCAGCCTTGCGTGGCCGAAATCATCATGTCCGCGTTCGAGCCCTCTGCCATGTTTGTCGAATGCGATCCCCGCCGCGGCGAATGGACGGCGCGCTGCGCGATGCACAGTGGCGGCGTGGTGCCCACGGGCGTGAAAGCAGCGGTTGACACGGTCAAGACGAAGCGCACAATTCAGTTTGTGGATTGGGCTCCTTTTGTAGGCCTCCCCTACGGCTGCTGGTAGATGTTCCTGGCACGGGGGATTGTCGCGAGGGCTTCGGTGGTCCGGGTCTGGGGGGCCGCTTCGAAGGGGGTTATCTCTTGCTTAGGTCCGCTGCTGACGAGGTGCCCAGCGTTCTCCCACCTCCGGGATCCTCGGGGCGGGGGGGTCGTGTACCCTTCGTTCCAGGACGCGCGGGGAGCTCGTCGGGTCGCAGCCTGACAGGCGGGTGGGCCAGCCGACCTACATGTTGGATCGCATTGCAAAATTCCGGCCTACAAGTATGCCCATGTGCGGACCGTTGCGCTGGTTCGCCGTTGCAGCTCCTGGCCTGCTTCGAACTGCTTGTGATTCCAAATGGGGGCACGCGGGATGGGCGCCCCGTAATCGATCCAGCACGCAGAGGGGGTCTTTACAGTGTCGACGAGATGCCCCCAGAGGGCCGACCCGAGGCCGCGGCGCGGCCCGCGCGCGGGTGTTTCTGTTTGTGGGTCTGTGCCAACTACCAGCCTCTAACCGTGGTGCCTGGCGGCGACATGGCGAAGGTGCCTGTCCCCAGCTGGGGGGGGGGTCAGCGCCGGGGGGGGCGGCGTTGGACCGGAACTAACCGGACATAAATGTCCCCAGCGGTCTGATGACGCAATGGAGCGCCCCAAGTGGGCGCGCATGAGCGGCCTGAGCGGCCATGTGAATAGCCGCGGGTGGCTGCGGCAACTCGCCAGACGGTGGAATTAGCTGATGCACATCCTTCACGGGAACGGGTCCTCCGGCGCCCAGCCGGAGGTGTTTGCTTTTGGTGGCGAGTCCTCCGACGACGACTCGCTGCTGGCCGTGGGGGCGCAGATTGCTATTGTTGGTTTGACGTTGGCGACAGGCTCACCTCTCAATGGCCTCTCCGGCACAGCCATTAGCTATGTGGAGGCGTCGCAGCGCTGCGGGGTGCGCGTGCCAGTGACAGGGGGCGAGGTGCTGCTCAAGCGGGACAATCTACAGACCTCACTCGTGGAGTGGCATTGGCTGACGGACTGCGACATTACTCACGACGCTAGTATGCCCCAGGCCTCAGTGCAGAGGGCGCGGATCTTATTGCGCGGATGCGGATCTGCGGACCGGGTCAACGAGTGGATGGATATCTATAGGGATTTTCTTAACCGCAGGCGGGCGTTGGTTTTGAACTGGGGTATCTTGGTGTGTGCGTGCCTGGAGGAGGCATCTAGATTTGTCATTGCGTGTCCCCGTGGTGCTGGCATCTGTTACTCGCCGTCGCTGGGCAATTTGCGACAGCACATGGCTCGCAGCAGCGGCTTTCTCACCTTTGGTGGTGGCGCTACCTGGACTGAGAAGCGGCTTTTGGTACTACCAGTGGAAGACCAACAAGAGGCTGCGGACTACGCATTTTCAAGGCTCGCCCCTGCAGAGGCCCTTGGCCAGGCAGTTGCCGAGGCCGCGATGGCCATGCCTTCTGCGGAGGCCCAGGTGTCGCGCAGCCAGCGCCGAAGGAGGGCCAGGGCTGCCCGGGATCGTGGCATTTGACGACGCGGCGCCCCGGCGTCATCGGCTCCCACATCTGCAGTATCCCGGGGGCCACGCCTGCGCCTGTGCAGGTCGCTGCCGATGTCAGGAGTTTACTCATGTGCATGGGTGGCTGGTAGTTGAATTTACATTCTGGTGGTTAGTTTGATTCAGGGCGAGGACAGGGCTTTTCGTCACATGCTTCTGTGGTTGGCCGCTCTGGTTTGCACAGTACCTCCGGCCATGTGCAGGGCGTGACATGCATGCGCAGGCTTTTCGGCAGGGCGGGTTGTGCGCCATTGCTTCGCGCTGGTCTGGACCTTCCCTCCGCGGGGGGTGCGGTCTGCTCGCCTTCGCGGGTTGCCGATGGATGGGGGGGCTCTTTATGATACTAAGAAATATCCGCTCAGATAAGTAAGCGATTGGTGCCCTGCCGGTATCAACTGCCAGCCTCCTGCCGTGGTGCCCAGGCGGCGTCTTGGCGAAGGCGAAGCGCGCGTGCTGCATGATCAGCAACTCCACGGGCATCGCGGGGGCGTTCTCCCTCGTCGACCACAAATTCGACCTCGCACATTCCAAGCGCGCGTTCGCGCGCTGGTACGTCGGCGAGGGCTCGGAGGGCGAGTTCTCAAATGCCCGCGATGATCTGACCGCGCTGGAGAAAGACTACGTGGAGGTCGGCGTCGGGGCCGCCAAGGGCGAGGGCGAGGAGGAAGGCTACGGCGACGAGTTTTGGATCAGGCTGCTCAGCGGCAGCGGGGCCGGCGCGCCCTGGCAACCCAAGATTTACCTGCTAGAAGTTTGGCATATTCTGGCGGCGGGGGCCACGGGGAACGCGCCGTTGCGATGTTGAGTGCCAGCCCGCTCAAAGCGATCGTCTTGCCGGAGTGTTTCACCTGCGGCGAGTAAATCGTTGACTCCGCTGGGCCCCAGCTCGCTGAGTCCACGGCGGCCCGCCCACCCCAGGGAGTTCCTCCCTCCTGTCGCCTTGCTCCGCTCGGCCCCTCTACAGCGGCGTCCCGCGGAAGGCGGGGGCGTCTAACTTGGACGACCTCGCTCAAGGCAGGTGGCCAGGGCTCCGTTCAGGCCAAGGCAGAGAACGCCATTTTGGACAAGCAGAGTCCGTCGCCTCGCTTGTCATGCGTGCGAACGTTTCGGTGAAAAAGGAAAATCAGCACGGTTCGCACCCGTGTGATAAGCATCAGCGGGCGGCCGGTCGAAGACTTTATCTGCGAATCGCCGCCGCCCCCTTCCTGTTTGGAACCGCCTGTGTTGCCGAACGTTGTGGCCATGGCTCAGAGAGCTGTCGGACTATCTGTTCCCCCAACGGGTGTGGAAGCCTTTCGCGGAACACGTGGGGGCGAGCAGTGAAGAATAATCTTGCGAAAAAGAAAAGTCGAATAATACGAAAAATGATAAGAGAAATACAGAAAGAATGTGAGAGGGAGGAATAGGGCGGAGGAGACTTCTCGGGAGCCAATTGGGGCATTTTGGGATCTCTTGGGGGCCTCCTTGCAGATAGTGGCCATAATCAGGCGGGGCTAGGACGAGGATACATCCGCTCCAGGGCCAGCGCGTTCCAGAACGCTCTGGGAAGGCCGCGCCGTCCGAGGCATCCTCCAAAGCAACGGGATATCAGAGATTCTCGGTTTGTCCTCACCCGATGTTGCTTTCGTCCTGGCTTCGTCTTGCGTGACATGACTCGCGGGGAAGTCCCAGGATGCATCGTGGTGTTGAAAAGAACAGCCGCCCTCCATTCACGCAGTTGCTGGATGTTGCAAGCTTCGGGGCTATACATGGAGGACGTGGGAGACACGAGCCCGATGCTGACAGGATTCCCCCCCTTCATGTGGAGCGTTCCAGACATGGCCTCGCCTTTGAGGATCGAAGGAGTGGGCATCTCTTCCTCGGCGGAAGGCGGCGAACGGGCGACGGACACCCGCGCGAGTAAGCTGAGGCCGCCTCCGCAGGCCGAAGCTGGCGGAAGGCTGGCCGCAACAACAGTCGGCCTCCCAAGAGATGTTACAAATGTGTTGGTCCAGGGTTCCTGGGACCAGCCATGCTGGGCACGTCCAGCCTTATGGTCATCGAGCTCGAGGGGCGCCAGCAAGGGCCAGGTTATTATAATGACGCGACCTCCACCCGCGTAACCGCTGGGAATTCCAAGCCCCGTGTCCAAACCCTGCGAGGAAGACTCGCACTGAACGCATGGCCCGCCCTTCCGACGCGTGTGGCGGGGTGGCGAGGGTCGGTTGCATCACGAGGACGATGCGGTGACGGTGAGAATGTGGAGGAGGAGGAGGAGGAGGAGGAGGAGGAGGAGGAGGAGGAGGAGGGGGAGGGGGTGGGGGAGGAGGAGGAGGAGGAGGAGGGGGTCGCCCTCGAGGCCTGCGAGAAATGCGACGTGGGCCGCGGTGCCAAGGCCTTCCTGGCCTACCTCGCCGCGGCGAGGGAGCGGCCGCAGGCCCCCTCTGCCGCCAGACGGCGGAGGAGGGCGGGAGGAGGCGGCGGAGGAGAGCCGAGGGTGGAGCGTAAGGGCCAGGACGAGGAAACGGAGAGCGTGGAGTGTGGAGGCTAAGAGGGCGGATGAGAGTCGAGGGTGGAGGGTGGAGGACAGGACGGATGCGGGGGACCACCCACCTGCAACGCCCGGCGGTATTCGACGGGGCGTGCTCCGGCTCAGTACTCTCGACGGGGCCGCCACGTCGCCGCTGGAGGGGAACGACTGGTGTGGGGTATTCGATGGTTGGGAGGCGGAAGTTGAAGGTGAGGAGGAGGATAAGGATGAGGGAGGATGAGCAACATGATAATGATGGTGACGATGAGGAAGAGCCTCGGGTGGGTGGCTACGACGACGACGAAAGCGACCACGGCGACGCTGTCGGCGACTTTGTGACGACAGGGACGACGACGACCACTTCGGGGGCGAAGCAGGACGGGGAGACAGAAAAGTTCACACAAGATGGCTGGGTGAAGGGGGGAGGATTTAGGATACAGGAGGAACGAATGAGGAATGAGGAGCGAGGGGTGAGGAGCCAGGAACGAAGAGAACGAGGAGCAGAGAGCGATGGGTCAGGAGTGAGTATTGAGCGGGCAGAGAACGGTTTGCACGGCCAGCTGCAATTCCAGCGACTTGCTAGTAGACGTAAGCATCTGCACAATACCGTATGCATAGTTCAAAGTGTTCAACACTTGCCGCTACGCCACCACCTGCGCTTACAGACGTGTAGCCATCAGCACAATACGGTTGGTTAAGCTGGACCCTCTGCAGCTACACCTGAGTTGCTATGTCCAATGCGCAGTATTGGTTGCACACCGATCTCACACAACATTTAGCGCCACACCACGACCCTCACTCGAGCCTGTCGCTGTTCCCACACATGCGTTCGCGCACTTGTCGTGGGTGCCGCACCTTGCGTCACAATTTCTAACCAAATCTGCGACGTAGTCTGCGCCTGCCTCAACTGGCGCCTACAACCCAACCAGCACCACTGCTCCCCTGGTCTGGCAGCGCGTCTTCAGCAGTCCAGTACAATCATTTTGTTTTGTGTGAGTTGCGGCGGCTTTAACCCTTGCAGGGAACCGCCGCACGGAACCAACAGGATCCACAGGTGCTCTATTATTTTTATTGAAATTTGTCTTCCGCCATCCATTTATAGGTTCCCATCGGCTCCTCCTTTTCCCTATCCCTGTATCTGTCACGTACTTCGAGCCCTCAGTGCACGGTTCACCTCCCGTTTTGATCGTGTGTGGCCTCCAATTCGGATGTGCAACAGTTCATCATACCCCAAAATCACAGTGCAGGATACTGCGAATCACGCTCGCGAGCGCAGTAGCAACGGAGCAGAGGAGCGCACGCGCTAGGGGTGTGCGCGCGGCTGCCGGCACGCGGGGAGGAGTGAGCACGTGAGTTCCTGACGAGCCTTATGTGTGCGAAGGGGGGCGTAGAGCATAATTCGAATTGACAGCGTGAGCATGTAGGAGCCCTGTCATTCAGTGAGGGGTGTGCTGTTCCCTGTAGTGTGATTTGCGAGTAGGGTGTACTTTATTGTCTTCCTAGGAGGGGGTTGTGTAGCATGCCTGCAGAGGGTGCGGGACGATGGGGGGCATGCGAGAGCGAGGCGCCGGTGGCCATTTGGGCTAGAGGTCGCCCTGCACGTGCCGCGATGGACCCGGCCATTCATGAGCTGGCGGGGTTTGCTTTAGAAGGACCCCTCTTATGGATCGGTATCCAGGGCAGCTTCAAGGAGGCGTTCCTCGCAGCGCTCGGAAGGCCTACCCGCCACCGACACGTCGTTGCCGTCCCCGCCAGGCGGGCAAGCCAGCCAAGTTCGTCCATCATGCCCTCCTCGACGGGCGTGGGGCCCTTCTCGGTAGTGGACGCTGGGACCTGTCCCGCAGCAGGGGTAGTCACGCTGACCTGGCCGAGGGTGCCGGGTGGGCGCGGTCGCGCACGTGGCGGGCAAGGGCGACGCCTGGGCCGACGCGCTGTCGAGGCTGCGCGAGCCGGGGGGGGCGCCGAAGTGCCGAGCGCGCCCTTGGCTCGGCCCCGCACGCGCCCAGCGAAGAGAGACAGCGCGTGGTGGGAAACCACGGGCGACCGCGGTCCGGAGCAGTCGGGCGGGCGTTAAGGATGGCGTTGTTCCTCTGCAGTCTGGCCCCCGCGAGAGCGGGGCGCCTCGGTGGGCGCGGCGCGCTGCTGCGCGCCGGCGCAGTGGGCGCCCTGGGGCCTGGGGCGTACAACGTGCCTGGCAGTTCGTTGCTGTGGCGGGCCCTCCAGAGCATGGGGGCGCGGCGGCGGCGGCGGCCGCTGCCGCGGTCGCGGCGGGGGGCGCGCGGGGCCCGAACGCGGCCGTTCCCGACGGGTGCAGGGGCGAGGCCCCCACGCCGGCGACACCGGCCCCCAGCGACTCTGCGCAGAGAGGCCCGGCGGCGCTGCAAGCGGAACCCAGCGTCGGCGTGGGCACGAGAGGTGTCTGGCGGCCGCTCGCCGCCGTGCGTCGAGCGCACGCGCGCGGGTCTGGGGCGGACGCCTGGGCGGCGTCGCGGAACGCTGCCGGCGGGGAGCGCGCGCGGCGATCACTCGCCGCCGGGGTTTTCGCCAAAACCACGTGGCGCTCACGCGGGTCTTGTGAGCAGGCCTCGCGGCGGCTCGCGAGCGCGGCGGGCGCCCCGCCGTTTCCGGCTACCCCAGAAACTATATCGCCTTCGTCGCTGGCGCAATGAAGGTGGGGCGGCGCCGCGCGGGTCCGGAGTGCGTCTCCCTGCGGCGCCAGCTTCATTGCAAGGCAGGGGCCGTTTGGGACCCAGAATTTCCGCGGCGTCCAAAGAGGCCAACCGGGGCCTGCAGCGAGGCATCGGGCCCGCGAGGTGGGCCGAGACCGTGCGGCTTGAGGGCGCTATATGGGGCGCGAGCGTGTCACGGAGCCTGCGGCGGCCGGTGGTCCAGTAAGACCGATCGACGCGGTCATCGCGGCCACTGCGCGGATGCCCGACCGCGGCCATCCTTGGGGAGCAAGCCCCGGCGTCGAGCGTCGAGCTTGTTGGGGCCGCGAAGACCAGTGCCGAGGGCCGCGAGTGCACGCGCATCCTTGCTCGTGCAACGCCTTTGGACAGGACGGGGTCGCCGAGAGGGCGTGCCCCGTCCGCGCGTTGGCGCGGATGATGCAGGAATGGGCACGCAGAGGATTGGGCGGGAAGTTTCCTCTCTTCCCATGCGCGCGCGGTGCCGCCCCCTCGAGCGGATGGGTGGTAGCGACCCTCCGGCGCGTGACGGGGGCGGTTCGGGTTGCCGAGCAGTCGCTCTGGAGGGTGGGGGCCCAGTGCTACGAGGCGCGGGGTGCCCGTGGCGCACGTCGAGTTCCTGGGGCGGTGGGGAGGTCCCACGGTCAGGACATTTGCGGGGGGCGCATTGGCCGAGCGGGCATCCGAGGCTTCCCGGGTGGCCGCGGCTGGGGGCCCGGAGGGCCCCGGCCCCATTGGGCTGTCCCTGGCCGATTTCAAAGCGCTGCTGCGAAAGAGAGAGTAGCGGGTTGCGGCAAGACGACCGTGGAAGGTGAGGTCGAGAGGAGGCGCCCAGTAGCGTTCGCTTCCTGGGAGGGGAAAGTGCAGGCCGCTGCGACCCGAGCCCGCGAGGCGCGCGCCAGGCAGTGGGCACCCGACTGGAAGGAATTAGTTGGAGGCGTGCGCAGCGCGGAAGGGGAGGTTCACACGAGGTGGTCGTGGGCGACCCCGTGTTTCCCACGTGAATGTGGGTCGCTCGCTGTGGGTGGCGCTTCGGGCGGGCATGGCACGAGAGGTGCCTGGCCAGGGGCGCCTCGCGTAAGGAGTGGCGGGCGGCCCGCCCAATCGCCACTGGGGAGGTGGGAGCGCCGCCTGCTGGGCAGCCAGAGAGGCCCAGAGGCGCGAAGAGGGACCGCATCACAGCCCAGGCGCTGCGCGTTGACGTGAAACACGTTCGCGAGCGGAGTGGCAACAGAGCAGAGGAGCGCTCGCGCGCGAGGGGCGCGCGCGGCTGCCGGCGCGTGGGGAGGAGTGAGCACGTGAGTTTTTGTCGAGCCTCATGTGTGCAAAGAGGGGCGTAGAGCAGAATTTGAATTGACAGCGATGGCATGTAGCAGGACTGTCATTCAGTCAGGGGGCGTGTCGTTCCTTGCGGTGTGATTTGCGAATGGGGTGTGCCTTGTAGTTTTCCTCGGAGGAGCGTTGTGTTGCATGCCTGCAGAGGGTGCGGGGCGAGGGGAGACATGCCGGAGCGAGGCGCCGGTGGCCATTTGGGCCATAGGTCGCCCAGCGCGCGCCGCGTGGCGTGGCCCACCCGCCCGCCCGCGGCGGGTCAAGGCAGCGCGGGGGGCCGCGTCGCGGCCCGCCCGCGGAAAACAACGCGCTGGCAGGCACTGCGCGTTGCTCATTCTCGGCGGCGCGCCCCGGGGGGAGGGGAGGCCATCAGAGCCCCGAGTCATCAGGGGTAACTCGGGTCAGGGCTAACTCGGGTTCGTTTTTCGGGAATCCAAGCCCGAGTTACCCCGGACCCGAGTTACCCCGGATAACTCGGGCGTCCAGAGCCCCACATCATCAGGGGTAACTCGGGTCAGGGCTAACTCGGGTTCCTTTTTCGGGAATCCAAACCCGAGTTACCCCGGACCCGAGTTACCCCGGATAACTCGGGCGCCCAATTTTCTGGGGGCGGCGGGGCTTCTCAGAAGCCCTCCGGCCTTCCGAGAGGTTTTTTGTGTTTCCGGGGAAGGCTCAGACAACTTCTCAGAAGGCCCGAGGCCTTCCGAGCCTGCCGAGATTCCCCGCCTCGTCTCTCTCAACCCTGGGCTCGCCGCGCCGACGATAGTCGGTGCCCTCTGTATGGCCAGCCGCGCCGCTTTTTCGCATGCCCTGCCTTTGCTCCTGTAGGGATGCTACTGCGGCTGCTCCGCTGGCTCGGCGGGGGCGCCCAAAAGGGTGGAGCCCAAGCGGGCCGCGAAGTGTGCACGTCTTCCCCCCCATGCATCACCCCCTTAAGCAACGCCAAGAGGGGGGGAGGAGGAACGCGTGAGGAGGCAAAGCCTCGATCTGATGGGCCCGATTCGCTTGCAAGACTTTGGAGAAGCCGCTGGCTGTGAGATTTTTTTGTGTATCCAGAAGGAGAGGGTGAACGACAATTGAGGAGTGAGCAGGACGGGGATGAGGATACGGAGGTGGAGGCGAAGGTGAAGGACCAGGTGATGGATTATGATGATGACTTAAAGGGATGGGCGTCGAGGGAGAGGAGGTGGAGGATGAGGACGCAGGGGGCTGGAGTGAGCTGGTGGGATGATGGTGAATCCGCAGGGGATTTGCTGGAGTTGGAGTGAGCAGGAGGGAACATGAGGATAATGGAAGGAGTAAAAGAACGTCTCTCCTTTTTCTGCCCTCCCTTCTTCTTGTCCTCGTTCTCCTGACCCCCTGCCCTCTCCTCCTGGTTTCCCTCTTCTCTCTCCTCCCTCTTCCCAGCCTTCCCTCTTTCCCCCCACCCGTTCCTGCCTTTCAGCCCCCTCCCAGCCCTCCTCATGCTTTGTATCCTTCCCTTCCTCGTCATCCTTTACATCCCTCATTTTCCTTCTCCTTCCCTCAGCCTTGCGGGGCACCCATGTGCTGTGGTGGTCCAACTGATTGTCCCCCTCCTGCTCCGCATGCCCTCCCCTTGTCCCGTACACGACGACACACAGCGACACAACCACGCTGTAGTGATGGAGTCGGCCAGGATCTGCTCTCCACTTTTCGACTGATGCTGGCGCGCTGGCGCCCTCCCCAGCCCCGCGTACAGCCGTCCCTCGGAATGGCACAGTTGAAGCCGCCAGCCACCACAACTACTCAACATGAGTATTACTCCCCTCTCTCGCCCGAGTATGGCGAGGGAGCGTCCCGCCTTTTTCGCAGCGCATGTTTATCAGGATCTCAAGCATCGCCCTGACCTCCCAGCGTTTTTTTGTACAATCTGGTCGTTTTCGATTATTCAAAGTGGCGCTGGCGCTGCAGTGTGGGCCTCGTACTTGAGGCCCTTGCCTCCGTCGTTCAAAATGGCGCGGTTGCCCCAGCGTGCTTTTCCTTATCGTTGTCGACCCCTTCCTTTCCCATCTTCACCATTTCCTGTGATCCTCCTGCTGCTCCAGCTCTTTCTACTCCATCTCCCGCTGCTGCTGTTCGTCTTCGATTTTCTACCTGAACATCTCCTCCTCCTCCTCCTCCTCCTCTACCTCTTCCTCCTGCTTATCTTCCCTGCTCATCCGCCACCTCCTCATCCTCCTGAAATGAACGCAGCTCCCATTGCCCGATTGTGCGTGACACGGTGAGTGCGTCCTTTTTTGGAATTCCAGTTCCGTCACGGCACGCGTCGGCGGATCGAGATCACAGAAGCGCATTGGACGGGATT